AAGAAGTAAATGAAGTACATGGATTTAAATCATCACAACTTCTTCCAACATTAAAGATCAATACTCTCCACAACTTCTATCCAATACTTAATTACTTATCATTTTATGAAGAAAGATAAAGAAAACTACTCAAAATCCATGGGGAAAATAAAACCACACTTTATTTTAAAAGTGAAAATCATTATCAAACCAACAACAAGTCTCAATTAAAACCAAAAGTAGTCTAAAACAAAAGATAAAAATTTATCTCAAGTCCTCCACCAAACTCTTGAAGTTTCTTTGAATCTCTTCTCTTTTACAACACTCAATATAAAACTAGAAAAAAAAATGATAAATATGTGGCGTATGAAAATCTCTCCAACTAACTCCCTAAATTTTGAACTTTCAAAACTTTTGCAGTACTTTCCGGACCTCTTTCAAAGTCCCAATCTTCTTTCTTTTATAATTATCCAAAAGGTGTCTTGGTATCTCTTCAAAAAGTGTCTTGATTTGATGTATTTCCCCAAGAGATGCATCCTTTCACAATAATTTTCGTCCATGGTGGTTGTAACCACCTTAAGCCAATGGGTGCCTCAAAAACCTCTTCAAAATTTACAGAACCCGAATTTACTCGTCCAAAACCTGCCACTGGCGCTTAAGCACGAGGCCTCTGACGCTTAGGCACGGCCTTCTTTGTTTATCTGGTGCTTAGGTGCCAAAATACTTTTGCACATTTTTCACCTATTTGCTCCAAATTTGATCCTTTTTTCACTCCTTTAAGCATTTTTCACCTTTTTACTTGTACTTGAATAAAAAAACACAAAAATACCTTCCATTAAAGTGCAATATCTCAAAAATAGGTATAGAAATGTGTCTAAAAACATTATATATTTTAGGTATATCACCAGTCGCTTACCTAACAAACTAAGAAGGCGGCGCATTGGCGCTACCCACTTGGTTCCAAGGCTTCATGACACTGGCACCTAGGCGCTGCTCCGTTAGGCACTAAGTCACCCAGGCCATTTTATGCAAACCGAGAGATTGGCGCCAAGGTGCTAGCCCCTTGCGCCTATGCAATTTTGATCAATTCGGGAGTCTATCGTGGGGAGTTATTAGAAGTCCGTGGACTGGTATTAGGGGGCTAAAAACGAGTTATATAAGTCTATGAAGAGAGGGTTGAATGTTTTTGAATGTTGTTAAAGGGGAGAGGCTACTAGGTCTAAGATTGGTGAATTTAAGGAGATTGGTGTGACTTTGTTGTCTGCGGTAGAATTTCCTTCTTATTCTCCTTCTAGGACTGAAGATAGGGAGATATATCAGGAGCAGTAGCAAAGGAAGCATTGGTGAAGCATCTTCAAGTCATTGTAAAGAAAAGGTAGATAAGTCTATTGTTTCTTTCTTATTGTATTTTTGTTGTAAACATTCAGACAATGGAATTCTCTTCTTCAGTGATTTGGTGTGTTATTTTTTTCATGCTTTATAAGTAGAACTCTTACCTTACCTTGTGATGATCAAGTAGGATGTGCAATAATGTTAAGTGTTGGGAAATTACTTTTAATTACTTAATGTGATGTTTAACTTTCAAATATTTATATAATTTTCATTCTGGCCAAGTGAAAAGTTAAAAATATGTTGTGAACTATAATAACTCGGGAGAGCTATAGTGGAATCAACTAACTTAGTCATGTTGAACTGTGGAGTATAAGTGGATATGCTGCGTAGAGAGATGCAAATGTTAGGGAAACAATCTTTATTAGGTTTAAAATAGGATTTAAGGAATTAAAGCTATTTTAACAAATATTTTTTATGAACTCAAGAGAGGGTAAAGAACAGAGTTGCTCCTACTTGTTACTAGCCAAATTTACAATTAACACTTTACATTTGCTGCACTCCACTTACATCATTACAAGAGAGGGTAGCTTTAGAACCTGATATTCATCAATCCAAAACCTAGTTAAGAGAATTTCAATAGGATTTATAATTTTCACTTCTTTACATTCTACAGGACTACTTTGTAGAACTTTAATCCAATATAAATTCCAAGCTAGGAGTGACACTAGTAGACAAAAACTTTTGCTAAGTCTAATTTCCTCGTTCCATTGGGATCAACAATCTAGACTAAAAAATCTGATATTACTAATACACCACATGTAATTATGTGAGCCCCCAGAGTGTAGTTGCACCTGGAAACGGTATCACCCAACAAACACCACTCAATCACGTCGATACCTATCCAAACCAGTATCTGCCATTAATAAAATTAATTGTTGAATGGAGGGAATCGACATAAACAAATTGACCGAAGATGTGATACCTGTCAGATTACAGTAATTTACTCTATGCCTAATGGAATAATCATACTCAATGGCATTGTGTCATCACAATTGGTCCACTTGGAAAAGGCGGTCGAAGGCTATGGGCTGACCAAATGAATATCAAGTGATCAAGCCACCAGGTTATGAATGCAATGCGGTGTCAAGGGCAATTACATATACAAAAGGACACGTACATCGATTATAGGGTCAAAAATATATATTATTTAGTTACAAATATGTAAAAATATAATGCTGATAAATTACAGTAACCTCCCCATTAATAAGAAACAATCAGGTAATTTACTATACCATAACATACCTATGATTTATAAATAGAAGGATGCTTTTTTATTTCGAAAAGACAAAGTGTTATTTGTGCTTCATCTTTCCTTACTTCCATTTGAGAGGTGCTCTATTCTATGAGCTTGATCTACAAGATAATTTAGGATCCAACACCAATAAAATTGATTAAAAATTTATTTATATTGGGCTTATTTAAAAATTGATCTAAAAAAATTATCCAAACTCGTTTCACTGTTTAATTAATAAATGCATATTTTATACCTATGAATTCTAAAAAATTGATGCTATGTAACTATACCACCTCTAATAATTTCTGATTGCAAAAATTAATACGTCGAAGTTAGGGATGACAGTTTGGCTCGTTGTTCGCGAACAGCTCTTGTTCGGCTCGTTAAGCAGCTCGTGTTCGACTCATTAACGTTCATTAAGCTTAACGAACGTTAACGAGCCGAACACGAACAAATTTTTAAGCTCGAAATATAAACGAACCGAACATGAACAAACATTTGTTTGCTTGTGTTCAGCTTAAATTTGCTCGAAAATAAACAAATAAATAAATATACACACACATATAATACATATTCATAAAATTAAATATTATAAATTATAATTAATTAAAACTTTTTAAAATAAAAAAAATTATCAAATTTTAAAAAATTAAATCCTATAAATAATAATATACAATAAATTATTAATAAATATTAGTTATATAAATATTATATATTTACATAATATAAGTTATATAATTCATATAATATATTAGTATAAAATTAAAAAAATCCTAACTCTCGGATGTTCTCGGATTTGTAATCGCAAAAGTTGTTCGGCTGTCTCTCCTCTTCCGACTCTTCTCCTTCCTCTCAAGTCGCAAAAGACGTTCGACCGCGAGAGCTTAGGAATTGTCGTTTGTGTTCGCTGCTCTCCTACTCTTTCGAATCAACTCCTTCTCCTCTCAAAATCACAAAAGGTTTTCGGCGGCAAGAGTTTAGGATTTGCTCTTCCTCTTCTCTTTCTCTTTCGAAACATCTTTCACTTCCGATTCCTCCTATTTCGAACCGAACTCGAACCGAACTCGAACAGTAACATAATATTCGAGCCAAACATTAACACACCCTTCAAAAGCTATTTTAAACACGAGCTAATTTCAATCAATAGCCACTATGCCGAACACAAACAATAAAGTATTATTCGAGCCAAACACAAACACATCAACCTTGGAACGCAAGCTGATTTCAATAGTCAGTAACCTCTGTCAAGCCAGCCGAACAGGAGGAGAGACCAAGTAAATTTCAATTTCCATTTCCGTATGGCCTCGCTCGCTATTTTCACTGCATCCAATGAGCGCTTGCGGCTGTCCGTACCCCGCCGACCGGTTCATCTCCCCTCTGAAACGCCCACAAAAGGGTCCGGCGATCAACCCGTCGCTGTCATCGACATTCTCCGCCCGCCCTAGTGTCTTTTTATGCTTCCCCGTCAGAGGGCCCACTCATTCTTATCAGCAGCTGCAATGGAGGCTTCCGTCTTACGCGAGCAGGGCGGAGCACGACGAGCAAGAGGAGCGCGCGGTCCACTACGAGGTTGATGTAGTCTCTTGGCGAGAGCGCCGAATTAGGGCTAAAGCTCTCGTCCACGCTGATGTGGATGCCGTGTGGAGAGTGCTCACTGATTATGAGCGGCTTGCCGATTTCATCCCAAATCTTATCTATAGGTTGGACTGCGGTTTTTTCTTTTCTTTTTATGGCCACTTTACAAGCATTTAACAATTGATGTTTCTTTTCTGTTCGAAAACAAAATATTGTGATCTTTTTGTTGAGAACAAGCTTTTTTAATATTCTCCTCTTCGAAAAAGTGGAAGGATTCCCTGCCCAGATGTGGGCAGGATATGGCTGGAGCAGAGAGGCATGCAAAGGGCTTTGTACTGGCAAATTGAGGCTAGAGTGGTCTTGGATCTTCAGGAATTCAATAACTTGGTACGCTCCCGAATTGGAAGATAAATGCTTAACATTTGTTTTATTTTTTAGTAGTGCCTTCTAATGGTAAGCCAACTTCCAATATTTTCTTGACAAAAAAAGCGCATATTTTTTTGACACATAAACGGCATTTTTGGTTATGAATTAGTAGATATTAGTTTTTGAGGCTTTCATAATGCATTAATTCGAGCCATCTTTCTTGTTTCTTTTTTAATGCTTTGCAAGCTGGAGCTCTTTTTTCATCAACATAGTTCGCTTGTATACTAAAGTGACTGTTTAATATTCGGTTTTTATATTTGTTTATTGTTCTTGTTGGTAGACGGGCAAGGATGCATTCATATTATCAAACTTTATTTTGAAAATTGTAGGTTATGGCTAGTTTCCTGCTACAACTGGCCTAATCATTTTCTCTAGTCTGATTTTAAATTTAGTCTTTTTATGGCACTTGTAAAAGTAGGTATACAATGTTAAGTAAAATGCTGCCCTCAGGATAATGAAAGGGAGCTGCAATTCACTATGGTTGATGGAGATTTTATTAAATTTGAAGGGAAATGGTCTGTTAAAACTGGTCCAAGGTAGGAATGAGGAGGTACCTGCTTTTCAATATTGTTGATTTTAAGTATTTTCCTATAAACAATGCTGATATTTATTTTCCTCCCAATTAATGGATAACTACTATGCCTAGAAAGCTAGCTTTTTTATGACATGTGAACTGGATGAAATATTTCAATCTACTTATTTATGACCAGATGTGCTGTTGAGTAGATTTTGCACAATTTTTTTGTTTTTTCTTTTAGAACTTGTTTTATTTGTCAATGATTTTAAAAATATTTTGCAGCTTTTATTTTATCCTATCGCAGATTTGTCCTTGGGCTTTATTTTATGGCCAAAACTCAAAATTAATTGTTAATTGTCATAATCCTGTGAACCAGTCTGAGTTTCATTGGAAATCCCTTTTTACATAATGTTACCTTGGCCAATGAGAAAACTCTTTAAGCTGCTGCATAATATAAAGCAAATAACATCTGCTTATGAAATGTCTGAATTGATATCTTAGTCTTTATTCTTGCTCTTTTTTTTTCTCTCATTTACTTATTTTTCTTGTTGACCACATCCAGGCTTACACTAAGTTTGAATTTTGAGGTGCTGCTATTTTTAAGATCTTGATTAGTTGACATCTCATGCAAGCTGCATTACTTCTCAAAATTTTTCTTTACATTTGCCTCTCGAGATAGCTAGTTTGACACTGATTTACTACGTTTTGGCTATATTTCACTAAGAAAGATTTTTAGTTTTTCTTTAATTTGCTATACAGATATACATATATATATATATATATGCTCTTCTAGTTCGTTTTATATAATAGTTGCTGCTGCTTTTACTACATTGTTAAAGATTCCTTTTCCTTAACCGAGTACTGCTTTGTTGTTTCTTGACTATTTTATAAAGTCTTACATTGATAATAACCTTTCCTCTTTGTTCATACTATGCTTCAAAGCTAATTTGGGTAACGTTTTACTCACAGGTCATCTACAGCAATTTTGACATATGAAGTCAGCGTGATACCAAGATTTAGCTTCCCGGCCATATTTCTTGAGAGAATTATCAGATCTGATCTTCCAGTGAACCTTCGGGCTGTGGCCTGCAGAGCTGAAAAATGTATTGAAGATAGTCAAATGACACCTTTGCCAGTAAATACCAAAAATTCAAGCCTTTCATCTACCATTCTCTCGCAAATAATGAATTTTTCTAGTGACATGAGTGAGACTGATAGCCAGAACTTGGAAAAGTTAAAGGAAAGTCGTGCAGGTCATGCCTTTGGTTCTGTTCCTCCTTCAAGTAACAACGAGTTTAGCAGAAAATGTGGTTTGTTTGGAAAATTCTGTAGACTAGATAAGTTATGTATGGCGGATGAAGTCCATTTACGGAAATTTAATGGCCTATTGGTAAGCTTTGCAATCCATATTATCTACTGATGAAATAAATATCAGCTGGAAAAGCTTTGCATTTGCAACAATATCTGATTAGTTACTTGTGCTAAAGGAAAATGGTGGTTCTCATCATTGTGTAGTTGCTAGCATCACTGTTAAGGCACCAGTTCATGATGTTTGGAATGTTCTCACCGCCTATGAGACACTGCCGGAGTATGCAACTCTATGTTCTTCTTTTCGAAGTTACTAACTTTCTTATAATTTTTTTTTTATCTATCATCAATTGTGAAAATCATCCTAAATAGAGAACCTGATGGAGCTCTCTACTTCTCTTTGACTGGTTCCCTTATGTTTCAGTAAAGATGACAAAAGTATTTTGTAGCGGTTTGTCACCTCCCAAAAGAGCTCTTCGGGGTGGTGGGCAACCCAGAATTTAAATACTGTTTTTCGGTCCTACATCTAGCCGATGTGTGACTTTTTGTGCGTGACATTCTCTTTCACCCAGTCACGTGACCTCCTCGTCACGGATCGGCTTCACCGAGGGTCCCACTGGATCATGGAGAGTCCACACACCTGGCAGACAATAATCTGTTCTGATGCCATTTGTCACCTCCTAAAAGAGCTCTTCGGGGTGGTAGGCAGCCCATGTCTTAAATACTGCTTTTAGGCCTACACCTAGCCGATGTGAGACTTTTTGTCCGTGACATGTTGTTAGCTTAGAATGTAGACTTTCTTCTAATATTACATAAATCCAAAGTGTTATACTTATTTTTGCATTGCATTTATACACATTAAAAGGGCATCCTTGAAAGGTTTGGATGAACGTTGACTTTATAGACTTCAAAACTCATGTGTTTACTTTCGATGTTTGCAAAATTTAAGACCTTTAGGATTATTATTATTTCATTAATTCATGCGAAGTAGTTTGTATATATAATGCATTACTATGTCCTGCAGGATTGTTCCAAATTTAGCTATCAGTAAAATTCTGCTGCGGGATAATAGCAAGGTTCGCATTCTTCAGGTACATTAAAGTTTATTATAATTTGTTATGCTATGATAACGATGATATACTTTTTGAGCACTCTCTGTTTATTTATCAATGATTCTAATCATGATATGATTATATTTGTGGAGCCTGCTTTTAGTGAAGGACGTCGAACTCCTCTTAAAACTTGCATGGTATGCCATGCTATTTTCTGATGTGGGCTATTCTCTTTTCTTAAATTTTTGGATTTTAAATCAAAATTCTGATTGCTAAGCAATAGATGGACCATTCTTGATGATCCTTGCTTTTTATTTTATTTTTTTTCTTTAGTAAGGCTATAGATTAGTATAATTTCAACTTCATTTTGTTATGATAATCAACTGGTTTCTCTCTAAGAAATTTTTATGAAATCGATAAATAGTTGCAATAATTAGTTTGCACATATTACTATATGAACCATGCCAACAACGTCAGAGGTGGTATCATCATACAAAACATTTAAGCTCACAATATCACAATGCCAATCAAAAATATGTTTTTCATTGGTCACAAAACCCATTATACCCACCTCCACTCACAAGTTGGTGCATTTGTATTTGTAATGAGCACATTCACATGTGTTTGCTTTGCAATGTGAACACATAAAGTGTAAATTCTATTGGTACAAAAATTTTGAATGTATTGTCAAAATTATGAATGTACGGAAAACATATTATTGATTGGCATCACAGAAACAAAGTGAAGAGTCGAAGTGGAAGATGAATTTATTAGAGGGGAGATCGGTTTCATGTTTATCATCAAAGGAGACTAGTTGAAATGAGAAATGGACCGCGTGCGTCAAAAAATGAGAAAGAGAGGAAATGAAAGAGAGAGCATGCGAAGAGGGAGCTCGCGTCGCTCGAGTGAGGTGTTCGACTGCAAAAAAGAGGGATGAAGCTAATCATGTTGCGAGCACGAAGGAGACAATGTGAGGAATCAAAGGGATACATGAATTAAGCAGAGGGGAGATCGGTTTCATGCTTATCCAAGGAGACTAAGTTAAATGGGAAATGTACCATATTAGATAATTAATGAGAAGTAGTGGACATGGAAGTGAGAGCATACACAATGAGGGAGCTCAAATTGCTCTAGTGAGGTGATCAACCGTGCAAAAGAGGCTAAAGCTAATCATGTGCTTGAGCAACATGAAGTGGTTCATACATACCTGCTATGTGAGGGTATGAGGGTTAAATCAATCTCGGCCTTAAGTAGGAGTGGCGACGAGTGTATTGTCGGGATCGAGTTGCGGTTTGGATTGAGCCCGTGTTGCAATTTTGCTTGCTTGAGTGATTGCGCCAACAAACAGACAAAGAACAGCTGCTAGCTCATGTCAATCATAGTGATAGAGTGACCACAAGCCGAGAAGAAAAGAAAAAACAATTGTGCCGAACCTTTTGTCAGCTGCGAGCTGATGTCACAATTCAGTTAGGTGCTTGGAATTAACATAGATGGGAACAAACAATCAGAAGGTGATAAGCATGTTTTTGTCATTTCATTTTTTATAACCATTAGTTTATAATCCAAATAAAATAAAAGAACCATGTTTTTGGTGATTATTTAAGCCCATAGAGAGACTTCCTGAGTTTACATATTAAGTTTTTGTTTGATTCATTCTCAAGTCCTAGTGGTATCTCCATATATACTTCTTCCAGATCCTCATTTATGAAGAGATTTTTTTTGTAAAAGTTGATCAAGTCCTCATTTCTTATTAGTTGCTATTGAAAGAACTCTGATAGTGTTTAGTTTGACAACTTTTGTGAAGGCCTCCTAATAGTCATTCTCATAGGCTTGAGTGAAATCTTTCACACTAAGTCCGATTTTGAATCTGTCAATACCCCTATCAATTTCTTAATTGAGGTTGAACACTCATTTGCGTCCAACTGGCTTCTTATCCCGAGTTTCGTAAGAATCTATGACATTATACTTCTGTGCTTGAATCTTCTCTTCAATTATTTTTATCCATTCAAGAGCTTTGTGAATGGATTTAGGAATCAATACACTATTAATGTTAAAAATAAAAAGCTTTTTAGGACGAGAATAACTTCTTATAACCTACATACTTCTAAATTTGATATCTAATGCAGTTTTTCTTATCCCCAACATCAGAAGAGGAAGAGGATAACTCATGAGCATTGGAATCCTAACACAATTTTAGGTGGATGCAGACTGGGTTTTTGGTTTGAGTAGTTCTGTCATTGCTAGTATTCTTCCATCCGCTCAAGGTTTTACTTTTTCCTTGTGTACAAATAAAGTTCTTTTTATGGATTTCAGATTAGGTTGGTTGGATTGGTTTGACATCCTCAACTAGGATAGGAGGGCTAGGTGGAGTAGGTAGTAAGTTAGTGTGAATGTCATCAAGGACATCCCAAATTTGATGTGGCACTCTCCCTTTGAGCACAGATTTGGGGTAGTATGATTGATTTTCAAAAAATGTAAAATCCATAAAATTATAGTATTTTCTAGTAAGAGGAGAGTAACACTTATACTCTTTTTTATAAAATTAAGCTAAAGTTTTGTGCAATTTTGTGAATGGATATAAACAAAAAATATGCACTCAATTATTTTAAGTGGTATAGTAGAGAAAAAGGCTCTAATGTGAGTATAGGTAACCATCAAAATATAAATAAAGTTTTTGAAATTAAGTACCCGGCTAAGCATTCTATTGATGAGGTATGTTGTTATATGAACTACTTCCTCCCAAAAATATTTTCGAATTGGATGAGAAATCATCATTGAGCAGGATACCTCAAGGAGATATCTTTTATTTTTTTCAGTTATCACATTTTATTGTGAAGTATCAATGCATGAATTCACATGGATTATTTAATTTTTGAACCAATTATGGAATTGAGATATTTCCTTGCATTATCAATTTTTTTTATTTGAATATTGTGTTGAGTTTGAATTATATCAAGGAAGGTTTATACTATTTGGGTTGATTTAGATTTCCCCTTCATTAGGAATATCCAAATAGTTCTAGTGTGATAGCCAATAAATGAGACAAACCATCTAGCCTACCTTCAAAGGTCCCCAAATATCATTATGAATAATGAAAAAACAGTGCGAGAGTTTGTACTGGGTCATTGGATAACTCTTTTTAGTGTGTTTGTCAAGTTGACGAATCTCACATTGATAAAATTAAGATTAATATTGATAAATGTATGAGGTTATAACTTTTAAACATAATTGAAATTATGAGCACCCTGACAACAATGCATAACATGACTTTTTTTCGACAGACGTACTCAATAAGCTTAAAAATTTGAGGTAAAATGGAGGTGGGATCATATGTGTTTATTGAGAGATTTTCTCTGAGCAGTTATAAATCTTGATGCATTTTAACACTGTCAATCACTTTTATCGATTTTATCACCTGAAATTCACAAGCATTTACAAGAAATTTAGTTATACATTTCATATCATGGGTAAGTTTACTGTTTGAAATCAAATCGCAGTCCAATTGTTGGACATATAAAATAGAGAGCAATATTCTGAGAGAGCTTCGCATCTCCTTTTCTAGCAATTTTTTAGTGGGAACCATCTGACTGATCTAAATGTAAAAGCCTCTTGATAGTTGCCTAGAGCATTGATGTAAGTGGTCATAGCCTCTTGATAGTTGCCTAGAGCATTGATGTAAGTGGTTATACGATTAACGACTCCTAAATATACGATCCAAATTTCAAATCTCTTATTATTAGCAAGATGGGAGAATGATATATTATCTTACTGAGTCACGAGGTTGTTGTGCTATTCTGAATTAGCTTCATGGAATTTTTCAGTAGTTCAAGATTCATCTGGGCAGAATTTCAAGTATCTGATTCATAATTAATATCCAGAGTAGAACTTGATGTCTTCATCCCATTTTTGGCCATAAACATATGCGTATTTAGAGTTGCTGCTAGCTGCAGGATGGGAGTTGATTGTTTCCTCTGTAGGTAAAGGAACGTCTCTTGGAGGAAAGAACGAAAATTGTCTAGTGATGCTGCTGCTGCTGCTGTTGATGTTGTTGCTGGATAAGAGAATTCTGGTAAAAAAGGGTATCTGCTGGTAGGAAGATTTTGACGGCAAAAAATTGAACATATGAAACTCTGCAGGGAGAATTTCGGTGCCACATGACCCTTGCCATCCCTTTTCAAATAGCCAAACAAAACCTACCCTTCACCCTAATTTCCTCGCTGCCTCCATCTCTCCAATCAGTGAGCTAATTGTGTGATCTTGCATGCTCGCCCATATCTTGAACTTGGCTATAAAAAGTGGAAATATCTAGGCATTGCTCGGTAGTCGCATTTCCTCTCCTTTTTAGCTTACAGCTTCACCCCAGTTCCTCACCTTGTAGCCGTCGACTTTTGTTACAATCACTTTTATCCTTATTTTTCCTTCAACCTAGCAGCTGTAAGGGACGTCTTTGCTAATCTCCTTTGCTTTCCTTTGCAATCACTAGTTCCCCTCTTTTTTGTGCTTGATCAATGGCCGCTAACATCTTTATCCATCCATAAAATCCTCGATTATAATCGGTAACTCCTCCCTTTCTTCTTTCCCTATCTTTAGATCCCCCCTTCATTCTCAACTTGAGTGATGAAGAGAAGATTAGATATTGTGGCTGTATTGATTTTTTTTAGTTATTAATTACTATTTAAGCTAAACTAGGTTTAGATAGATTTTAGTTCAATGCATGCGTGGCCAAACCATCTAATAAGACTCTCTCTAATTTTTTCCGTCATTGGCGCTACACCAATCATATCACATATATATTCATTTTGCTATTTGTCTCTAAGTGTAAAGTCACTCATCCACCTAATCATTACTAATCATTACACCTAATCATTATCATCTCGACAACACTTAACTTAGTTTTATGCTTCTCTTTTAAAGGCCAACATTCAACGCCATAGAGCATTACAGGTCTCACCACCATCCAAGATGGTTCATATTGAGGTAAGAAAGGCAGAGGTAGACCTAGGATGACTTGGGCATATTGTATAAAAAATGATCTTAAT